TCAGACTAGTACAAGCAGCCACACACATACACATGCATCTGACACAACATTAAATCCCATTTCACCTCAACTTATTCATCAGATTCTATTATAGTGTCTAAGTTCTCAACTGTGAAAGTACTTTACAGAGCCACCATGGTGTGACATGATGAAAAGAATGTTCAATGACTTCAAGTTCAATTCAGCTTATTAGGCAAGCTTCTCTGCAGTGCCTTTGTGTTCATTGTAGTGTTGCGTAAGTAGTATAGGTCAATACATGACCCAGTCAGGAGCCCGCTGAGCACACTTGCTGTTTGAACAACGCATATGGATAAGCAGTATCTGACATGTTCGATAAACTCGCTGCTAATCATGTTAATTGTCAACTCACATTGTGTGCCACACATTAGATTTCCCCTGGGGTCTTTGGTTTCCAACTCTAGTCATGGTGATAGCATATGTTGTTAGCTTTCATGTGTTTACCAGGCCATTGTTGTTCTCATAATAGAAACACAGGAATGAATATAATGCAGAAACAATGATATGACTGATTTATGAAAATGAATTTTCTTTCATGTCTTTGTTTTTGGAATAACATATTGTCAATATGATCTTCCTGAAACATATTTTGAATGTGCCGAGTAGGTATCTGAATAATCAATGTGACATGTGAATTAAATATGATATTATATCCATATTATGTCAAGGGTCGTAACTAGTGCAACCTGTTACGAAGAAGTGCAACCTAATATTTATGTCTACATGCACCAAGTGCATGTTGAAATCATTCAAATTTGTGTCAAACCGTTACATGTGCACACAACATTGGTTTTTTAAACACATTCAATACCTTGAAGCTTATTTACCATACAGCGTCAATAATCTCTCTGATCATGCTGATACGTGTAATTTGTCATGCTTTTGGGGGCTTGATGTCTTCAAGCGTTGGGGACTTCAAGATTACCGTATTTTCTTGAGTATAGTGCGCACTTTTTTTTACAGCTGTGTAGAACGGGGTGCGCATTATACACGAAATAATGAGTTTGATGTGGGTTTTTTCCATGGAGAGATATTACCGTGAGCACATAACACCGGAAACACCATGTCAACAAATCCATACTGAAGTACGCAAAATCATCATGTAAATACACGAAATCGGGTGTGAATGCGCTTGACATTCGAATTTTTTTTCTCCAAAATACTGAATCTGCTAGAGGGAGGTGCGCACTATACTCAAGAAAATATTGTGTGTGGACATTTCTACTTTGATAAGTTTATGGAACCTGTTTTGTCTGGTGCAACTAGGTTATATGTCAACCTGCACCTAGAGCAAGTGAAATCAAGTGCCCTAAATCAAGCCTTGTAATGAATATATGAGAACAGATGATTGTTATCTAGTGCATGAATAAAGCATGTGATGTTAGTAAATAATTTACTAGATTACAGCCGTGATGTTACTATAGAAACAGGATTATTTCCTCTGTTCATATCAATATCGAGTGTACTATGATTCCATTAGTATGTGATAACTGTAACCATGGTAACCAGTGGTAATTAACATGAGAGTAGACAATCTAGGTTATGAACCTGATAAATTAATAATTGTTGGTAAATCAGGCATAAACATGTCCATTTTGAAACAGTTTGATAAGACATTAAAAACAATATATTGCACACTATGTAATCATGTTCTTATGTGTGGTTTAGCAGACGACACTTCAAGTGCAGAAATTTGATCCGGTATTCTCAAATCTTTAAAAACACAATCATATGTAGGTTCTTTAGAACCCAGATACGTCTTACTCATCTCATGACATACTCAGATTAATAAAATTACATGATTTTTGCTCCTTCTCTTTGAATATTTTAGTTTCATATCTGTACTGGTGTCACTTATCATCTAAGGGTTCAAATTTGCCTTGCTGAGTTGCTACCAATAACCTGTGCCAGAAACATATGACCATAGGTTCGAATTCCAGTTTGCCCTGATAATTGTTCTAGGTTTGAACTTGTGTTGTGGGTTTCACCAAAACCATCTAAGACCTGCATTACTTCCCTTGGCTTTTCTCCCACATCAAGCCGAAGGTTCTGATGGGTAAAATATAATGTGTACCGGTACTCAAGTTTTTGTTTGTCTCCCTTCCTGGAGTAGGATACCTGATTTCAATGGTAATATGCTACACAATCAACATTTTGTTCTTTTTTCATTGCACCATATTCATCAAATTGTGTTCAGACACTACTGTTTCTCTCCCATGTCTGCGCCATGATTGATCGAGGAGTGAAGATGTGGGTTATCTCCCCTGGTCGGATACTCAAGTTTTTTTTGTAGGACCCTAGTTCATCTAAACCCAACCCTTGCCCCACTACTTGAATACTTTCTACTCTCGAAGATCAGGTGTAGATTTGGTCTTCAGCAACCCATGTATCCCGTAAAAGGCGACTGCTTGTCGTAAGAGACGACTTTCGGGATCAGGTGGTCAGGCTCCCTGACTTGGTTGATGCATGTCATTGTATCCCAATTGCGTAGATCGATGGTCATGATGTCAATCACTGGACTGACTGGTCCAGGCTGGATTTTTATTTATTTTTATTATTTTGGACCATCATTTAGCTGCAATACTGCTGAGTGTGGCTTTAAACAACAAATGATGAGGTGAAATAAGGGTTCAGTTTCATTCAAGATGATTTCATTTACATTGTGACGTGTGTGTGTGTGTGTGTGTGTGTGTGTGTGTGTGTGGGTGGGTGGGTGTGGGTGTGACTGCTAGTCCAGACTAATGGCGGTTTAGTAGTGCTAGCATTGGAGATACCATGGTTAGTCCTGCACCATGACTGTGGAATATATTTATTTAATGAACATGAAAGAGAAAGGGGCTTTATGCTTGGTTTAACAGTATTGCCTTTAATGCAGTGTTAAAACACAATGTTAAAATACCATTAGAAGAAGAAAATAAGAACTTTAAGAATGTCTCAATTTTGAATCTTTTCCCCCCAAAATTTGTCTCCCAAGGGATTCCAGAAACATGCTTTCTTTGTGATCATGTTTCAATCATTGTCAATGTCTGAGACCCCAGAGAACCTGTACCATGTATATTGTCATGTGTGTGTATCATGTATATTGTCATGTATATTGTCATGTGTGTGTATCATGTATATTGTCATGTGTGTATCATGTATATTGTCATGTGTGTGTATCATGTATATTGTCATGTGTGTATCATGTATATTGTCATGTGTGTATCATGTATATCGTCATGTGTGTGTATCATGTATATTGTCATGTGTGTATCATGTATATTGTCATGTGTGTGTATCATGTATATTGTCATGTGTGTATCAATCATGCAATTGTCATGTGTGTATCATGTATAATGTCATGTGTGTATCATGTATATTGTCATGTGTGTGTATCATGTACGTTGTCATGTGTGTATCATGTATATTGTCATGTGCGTATCATGTATATTGTAATGTATAATATCAGTTGTGTGGAATGCAGTTTGTAGTTCAACAGAATGTATTTTGCTGGGAATGTTTTCATCTGTTGACTTTGTCATGTTTGTGACACCTGGGGTATTTTGACTGTTACCATGGTAACATTATCTGATGCTATGTGTTAATCACGATCTCCATCTGATGCATCTATTGCTGCTGAGTTACAGTTTTACATCACACATTAAACATGCTCTGTTTTGATATGCTGTCTGCATACCTGGAGCTTTTGACTGTTAGTGTTACCATGGCTACATGGCATAATGTTACACGTAGATCTTGATAAGCATCTGCAATTACTGTGGAGTTACAATTTGTGTCATGTCCTAAGCTGGCTACATCATTTGTACATGGTGAACTTTGCTTGTTGTAAAAGGCGACTAACAGGATAGGGTGGTCAGGCTCGCTGACTTGGTTGATGCATGTCATCGATCCCAATTGCGTGGATCGATGCTCATGACATAATTCACTGGATTGTCTGGCCCAGACTCGATTATTTACAGACTGCCGTCATAGCTGGAATATTGCTGAGTGCTGCGAAAAACAACAAACAAACATGGTGAACATTATCATGTTTGTTATTATCATGTACACTTTGTCTGATAGTTAACCAGCATGATGGAATATAGAGACACTAGACAATAAGTATAACAGCTTTGCTTCATATAACCCCCTGGGATACACTGACATGTAAACCCAACCACCCGATCCATTTAGTTGCCTCTTACGACAAGCACAGATTGCTGGGGATCAATATTCTTGTCTGGACTCACCAGATGTTTTTCTTGTCTGTAGCAGAAAGATTTTCGTCTTGAACACCTGCTACAAATTTTGACCCTAACCCTAAATTGAGATATTTGTAACTTTGGCCTGTTCCTCATCATATTTAAGTATTACATACTAGTAAATGATTTTTTGATACGTCTAAGGTTAGCTTAAGAAGTAATTTTACAGGGCCTTTGGTGTTTGATACATCCAGATTTCACTCATAGAGTTCAGGCCTCTTGGCTTCAGTGTTTGAAAGAATTTTATAGCCCAACTAGACCAATAAATGTTGCCTGCCCATCTTCAAAGTTACCTGCCCGCATTCAGACATAAATATTGAAAACTTGTGAAAAACAAGAGACAAATCGTGTCTTGATTCAGTTGAAATAATGCATACGATCACTGGAGAATCTACGAGGAGGTATGAAGAAACTGAAAGTCTGGTCTCATATTTGATATATAAATATCTCATTTCAATCAATAATGTATTTAAAATTAAAATGGAGTGGCAACAAAAGTACTTTCTATTATCAAATAAAATAACAAGTTCCCTGTTTGCGAAGTACCCCAGATGTGCACTCAAAGTTAAATAAATTAAATATGAATACATAGGTCCATATGTGAATTGATACAGGATTGAAATATGAATTGATACAGGTAAGTATGTATCATTTGAGAATATTATCAATGCATTGATGTATTGGTGAATCGTGACACCCCTAGTTTGCATGGTATGAGTGACAACTCTCTGTGTGTTCCAGGTCGTCTGAATAACCTTCTAGAGCTCCAGGAAGTGATCGGGGTACAGTTGGAACAGCAGCATGTCAACAAAGATCGGTTCAAGCGGAAAGATGGCACCAAGGTCTACCTCTGCATCGAGATGCAGCAGATGCATTCCACTGCGTTCTGCGTGTACTACGTCAAGCGGCAGACCAAACATAGGTGGCGCCACAAGAAGATGGTGTTTAACTGTAAGGACCACAGCACAGCACAGATGTGGGTGGACAAGATTCTGTATCTTCTACAGGGACCAGGTATTATTCTTTGTACTATGTTTTATACATGCTTTAATGCTAGGGCTGGGACGAGTCCAAATTTACTACCCGGGTACCCTACCCCCTATTATCCGACCCTAACTGGGTACCTGCTGTGGGTCTCAAGAGATAGGTACAAAATGACCGATTGGGAAACGTTTGACCGTACTCCTGTCGAAATGTATTTATATATATACAGGTATAAAATGATCTTGTCAGGCATACACTGAAGTTGACTGAAGTTTAATCTTTATGCAAACATATAAGTTCAGAAGGAATGTGTGCATAGTCAGAAAGAAATGTGAACATTTGTCATTTAAAGTGTAACCATAGAGTTCACGTGACTAACCATGGGTCCGGTTAGTCCTGTGGGTACCCGGGTCCAACTCAGTACCCACTCGGCCCGAGTTCCCAAGTTACCTGTCCCAGCCCTATTTAATGCCATCCACTATGGTCCACAGTCCAGTTTCCACCCTTGCCGAACGAGTCTGTTAGTTAAAAAGGATGTACAAAATGTTGATATCTCATATAAGAAATAAACGATGCGTGGTCGTTGTTTATCATACAATAAAACACTGGAGGGAGAATAAACCACTCAGGGCTGCATCCCTCATGGTTTATTCTCCCTGTACTCTTTTATTGTACAATAAACAACTCCTACTCATCGTTTATTTCTGAATTACAAATAGGCTTTAATGTTTTTTCATGTGCAAAGACATTACTGCTGGAATATTGCTGAGTGTGGCTTTTTACAAGAAACAGACAAATACCAAATTTTAACACTTGAAATATCAGTGCTTTGTTTAGAGGGATTTAGAATGAGTGACATAAGCTGGCACATAGTGGTGTCTCTTGCTGAGTGACGTGCAGAAATGTTGCTGTCAAATGGTCAAATGAGTACTCTCATGTGCTAATATGTGATGTAACCTTTCCAGAGATCAGTGGCATGAAATGTTAACCAACTGATTGACTGTTACAGAATTTCATAGACCAAGGAGGCTGTTGGTGTTTGTGAACCCTTTTGGAGGCCGGAAGAAGGGACCATCAGTGTACAACACGAAGGTGGCGCCATTGTTCGAGTTGGCAGGGATCAGCACAGAAGTCATCAGTGAGTGGACTCTGGCAGTAGCTGTTGACAGTCAAGGGCATGTTCTTCAAAGAGGGCTACCTCCTCCTATAGGTTAACATAGATTTAAGCTTAGCTGAGGTGAGGTGAAATGGGGTTTAATGTCGCATTAAAGATTATTGCACTTATATAGCGATGTGCTTGCACGTGTGTGTGTGTGTGTGTTTGTGTGGCTGCTTGTACTAGTCTGGACTAATGCCAATTTTATAGTGCTAGCCCACTGAGATACCATGCTGCAGTTTAACATGAATACCCCACTCAGACACAGTATACTGACTCTGAGCCGACCAGTCCTTGTTTTAGCCCCTTAATGCCGAGCGCCAGACAGGGTAACAAGAAGTACCATCTTTTAACGCCTTTTGGTATGATGCGGTCGAGAATCGAACCCTAGACATTCCGCTGTCTGGGTGGATGCTCTACAACTAGACCATGGAGGTTGTCCGGGCAGATACTCTACCACTTGACCATGGAGGCGGTCACTTAAGCCTAGGGAAATTGAAGGGATGTGATGTTAGAAATGCTATGAAGCCTGAAACTTGGGAAACAAGCTATGGTAGAATGAGCCTGATGGGACTAATCTGCTGTGTTTTAGTGACGGAGAGGCAGAACCATGCAAAAGATGTCCTCCAGGACTACAACCTGGACTCCATAGACGGGTGAGTTGACTTATGTCTACTGTAGACAGGTTAGTTGACTGCTGTCTACTGTAGATGAGTGAGTTGACTGATGTCTACTGTAGACAGGTGAGTTGACTGCTGTCTACTGTAGATGGGTGTGTTGACTGCTGTCTACTGTAGATGAGTGAGTTGACTCATGTCTACTGTAGACAGGTGAGTTGACTGCTGTCTATTGTAGACAGGTGAGTTGACAGCTTTCACTGTAGATGGGTGTGTTGACTGCTGTCTACTGTAGATGAGTGAGTTGACTGATGTCTACTGTAGACAGATGAGTTGACTGCTGTCTTCTGTAGACAGGTGAGTTGACTGCTGTCTACTGTAGACAGGTGAGTTGACTGATGTCTACTGTAGACAGGTGAGTTGTCTTCTGTAGACAGGTGAGTTGACTGCTGTCTACTGTAGACAGGTGAGTTGACTGATGTCTACTGTTGATTTGTGAGTTGACTGATGTCTACTGTATAAAGGTGAGTTGACTGGTCTTCTGTTGACTGGTGAGTTGACTGCTGTCTTCTGTAGATGGGTGAGTAGACTGATATCTACTGCAGATATGAGTTGACTGATGTCTACTGTAGACAGTTGAGTTGACTGATATCTACTGTAGACAGGTGAGTTGACAGAGATCTACTGTAGATGGGTGATTTGACTGATGCCTACTTTATTTGAGCTAATCTATGCTTTTACCTCACCAAGAAAATAACATTCTTGATTATCCAGTGTATTACATATCCATTCTATTATGATATATACCCTGATATAGGGTGATATTTCATGATATAGACCCAATAGCCATCCTAGCTTTGGTTGAGTCCTAAATATGACACAATGCTTACCTTAGCCGTCAAAACATATCAAAGGGGTCTTTCAAAAGTGGTGATAGCACCAGTACTCAACTTGCCTTTTTGCAAACCATCTCAAATCACTCTTATACTCGAGATAACATATTTTCCAGCTAAAAGTAAATAGTATAACGATAGCTTGGAGGTTGCCATTTTGAATGTTTATTCTTTCCTAAACTCTTATTCAGAAGAGGCATTTTGATTGGTTCAGTGTGCCCTCGATTTTCATTCTCTGCTCCAAAAGGTTTACAGCCTCATTATAGTATATATCATAACAGAATGGAGATGTGATACCCTGGATAATCAAGTCTGAGGCAATATGCTGCATAGAGTTGCTTCCCTTCGCTACTTCAAAAATAGGTGGTGGGCTTGAACCTATTGCTTGTGATCCTTGCTGTATCAGCTCATGGGGTTCACCAAGGTTGTAGTCTACCCCTCTTGAGACGTTTTGAAGATCCGGGATAGAATAGGTCTTCAGCAATCCATACTTGCCATAAAAGGCCACTATGCTTGTCGTAAGAGGCTACTAAGGGGATCGGGTTGTCAGGCTCGCTGACTTGGTTAACACATGTCATCGATCCCAATTGCATGGATTGATGCTCATGATGTCAATCACTGTATTGTCTGGTCTAGACTCGATTATTTTACAGACCTCCGTCATATAGCTGGAATATTGCTGAGTGCGGAGTTAAACAACAAACAAACAAACCCCTCTGGATCATTGAGCTTTCCTGCTACAAGAAGCTGATACCCTGTGATATTATTGAAACATTGTTCAAACAGACATCAAAGTAAACTCCCAGAAAACCATCATCGACCTCCCTAGCTTGCTTGATACTGACTCTCCAAATGATTGTTTTCAATCCATCCAAAGTATTTGTAAAATGTTGATCATGTATATTCTTGAACATTTCTGTCCTACATTGTCATGTTGTGCCCCCAGGGTGGTGTGTGTGGGTGGTGACGGTACCTTCTCCGAGGTGTTGAATGGTCTGCTGGACAGATCCACCAAGGAAGGCGGGGTCAACCAGGAGACTCACCATCATCCCATACAGCCAAAACTTCGTGTCGGTATCATTCCTGCAGGTAAATATGTAGTGATTAATGCCCTGTTGTGACCCCTGTGTCAATGCTGTGTATATACACTGGTCATTGTGGATGAACCTGTTATGTATTCCATGGTAGAATGGGGCACAGGTGGCCTAGTTGTCTAAGATGCTGCAGTTCGTTGTGCAGAGTTGCGTCCCTTGGGCATGCCAGAAACCTCAGATCATGGTTTTGATCCTGGATCGCGATTATGTTTCTAGGTTTGTCAGCAGCATACTCGTGCTCGTGGGTTTCACCGAAGTGGTAAACGTCTGGGACACGCATCAGTTCGGGCTTTCCTCCCACATCAAGCTGACACGCCCTGATTTAACTGAAATACTGTTCAAAGTGGTGATATACCCGACTCAGACACTCACCCAGTCCATGGCAGAATGAGTCACTACTACAATTTTGTGAAAAAAATGTGGATTTAGTGGCTACAGTATGTGATTGTGATGGGTCTGTTGTCGTCGTCAATAGTGAATTGTTACTCATGTTATCAACCACTGGTTTGTCTCATACAGGTTTTGTTTTTCACAATGTTTGCAGGCTGTATCATCCTGTGTTTTGGTCTTAAGCAACTCGTGCTTGCCGTAAAAGACGACTATACTTCTTGTAAGAGGCTACTTACAGGATCGGGTTGTCAGGCTCGGTGACTTGGTTGATGCATGTCATCGTATCCCAATAAATTGATGCTCATGAAATCAATCACTGGATTGTCTGGTTCAGATTTGATTATTTACAGCCGCCATCATACAGCTGGAATATTGTTGAATGCTGTGTTACATAACAGTCAACAAACAGGCTGTCATATATTTGAAATATTGCTGACTGTTTTGTAACCTTCATTCTCTAATACAAATAGGATGGTGTGGTTGGACTATGACTAAATATGACTAGTTTTACACATGCACCTACCCATGACATTTGTGTATCACAGCAAGCCTTTGTTTCAGGGTCGACTGATGCTATTGTGTATACCAGCGTTGGAATCAACGACCCAGTTACTTCAGCAATACATATCATTATAGGTAAGACTCCTGTTTAGGTTCAATCAGCTATTCTTTGCTGTCCTGACTCCATTTCATTGATTACCTAGTCATCAGAGGTAGCTGTTCAAATGTTCATGTTAAAATGCAGAAAGGTATGTGCAGTTTTTGATGTCATTATTAGACTTATTACCAGCCAAGCTTACTAGACCAAACAAGGGGCACGGGTGACCCAGTCGTCTAAGGCGCTGTGATTCGCTGTGCAGAGTTGCATCCCTTGGGCACGCCAAAAACCTAGGATTGTTGGTTTGAATCCCAGTTCGCCCCGATTATGTTTCTGGGTTTGTCAGCACCATACCCGTGCTCGTGGGTTTCACCGAAGATGTTAAACGTCTGAGACCTGCATCACTTCGGGCTTTCCTCCTACATTAAGCTGATACGCCGTGATATAACTGGAATACTGTTAAAAGCGGCATTAAACCCAAATCACTCACTACTAGACCAAACAGAATTTTACTAGACTCAGGCTTCAGACAAGTGGCTAAAGTTACATACTGCATTTCCATCATATTTTTACTGAATATACTCCTTGTTATTTCCCTGATCGGAATTCAGTAACTTGTGCTTGAGGTGAGGTGAGGTGAAATTGGGTTTAACGTCGCGTCCAAGATTATTGCACTTATATAGCGACGTGTTGTGCTTGAGACTTAGTGATTTGGGTTGTCAGACTCATTGACTTGTATACCCTGAGTTGATGCTTATTATGTCACTCACTGGTCATCATATCATGTCATTGTCCCCAAGTAGCTGGGGATTCTGAGCAGATTTTAGGTCCCAACCTATGCTTGTTGAAGAGGTGACTAGATTAAATCAGGTGGTTAGACTCAGTGACTTGGTTGATTGTGTGGCACTTTATTCACAATATCATCCAGTGGTTAAATGTTAAACAACAAACAAAACAATCCCAAATTCAACCATGAATTTTGTAATTACTTGATTTTGATTGGTCAATCAGAGGTATTAAATCACGATAAAACCACTCTAATTGCAACAGCCAATTTGATGGCTGTATCATTGCGGAAGCATATATAGTTTTAAAATAGTACTTCTTTTACAGTCTTTGTCAGTAGGCGTATTTATATAATTATATGTACAATTATATGCTACAAAATGCAAAGTTACTAAGATATTCAAAGGATGTGTGATACTTTCATTCAGAAAACACAATTGAAATCTGCAAAGAGAATGCATTTCATGCTTTGAGGATAACAGAGAGCTTCCTATTTGGCGCTTTTCTTTGTACGATTGTGATGTAATATTTTTTACGTCCCAATGAGCGATATAATGTCATAATAGTGACATGCGGTGTAGAATGAAATCTTTGCAAGCCTTGCTTAGTTTTCTTTAGTGGTGGCCGCCTCATGTTAAGTTGCCGTGCTACATGCTTTCAGTGCCTGTCATAAGTTTGTGTCAAGTATTACGGTGTAACAAACTGCTTGGTTACATGTTAAACAAACAAAACAATCCTAAATTATACAGTCATACAAAAGGGACATTTGCAGGAAACAGTCATCATTAAGTGAAGAGCGTAATCATTACATCATTACATGCCTTAAGTTAATGTGATATGGATCATAATTTCTTCCGTTTTTTTTACAAGACCTGGCGTTTATTGAAGGTCTGGCATCTAATAGAGGGTTTACGGTAATTTTGAATATTTTGACTAGCCTGTGACTGCTTACAGGTGACTCAGTTGGGATGGATGTGTGTGCACTGTACAACAGGGACCAGTTTATCAAGTACAGTGTGTCCATGATTGCCTATGGTTACTATGGCGACCTCTTGGAAGACAGTATGGGGCTCCGGTGGATGGGTCCAGCCAGATACAACTGGTGTGGTATGTATTAATAAGTGGAATATATTTTATCCTGAATCATCTTTTGTTACCTTCCAAAGATTCGTGAAGCCCATTTCTGGTGTCCCCCTCCGTGATATTGCTGGAATATTGCTATAAGCGGCGTAAAACCATACTCAATCAATCCAAAGATTCAGTGTATGTGTCTCCAAGTGCTAGATACGGAATGCTGTGAAATAGCAATTATCTCTCCCCAAACAACTTTCCATACTGGTCCACAGAAGTTTATTATTTGTAAAGGTATATGTGCCATGAATGAGGTTCTGAAAGAGCTTGGGTGGGGGTGGGAAAAGTTTGCTGGCTCATAAATTTGCCGTAGTTTAAAGCCTGATATGCATGTAACAAATTCCATTTTAAACTTTAACAAATACATGTACTGTTACAGAAACTGGTCAAGTCTGGTCATTGTTATATTTAGACCTTGGGACCTTGGTAAGAATAGGTAAACAAAAACGTGTTGCTTGTTGTAACTGGTGACACAATTGGATGAGGAAGTCAGGCACAGTGGCTTGTTTGATTGTGCCATCTGACCCAACGACATTAAATGTTTGTCATAATTTCAATCACCAGTTTGTCTAGTCCAGACTTGATTTTCTGTTAGAGGCTGCTGCCAGATGGTTGGAATATTGATAACTTCCGTGTAACACAACAAACAAGCAATATAATTTTTCCCTCTATTTCATATTAAGTAATAGTATATACATGTTTTGTTGCCAGGTTTCAAGAAGTTTCTCGCCAACAACTCCTACGAAGGGGAAGTATCCTTCCTGCTCTCTGCGGAGAGTGAAAGTCATCCCCGTGATGGGACCAGGTGTAATGCAGGGTAATGCTTTCAGTCCTTATGTTTTATGCTTGTCAGCAAAATTATTCCTGATCACTATAAAGTGATTTTATCATGATAATAGATGATTTATGTAATAATGGATCATGTATTTAACAGAAGTTGTCTACCACTTCGGTTACGGGGAAATGGGTAGCCCAGTCATCAATTGGCTGTGCAGAGTTGCGTCCCTGTTACCATGGGTTCGAAACTCTATTCACTCACTCTTTTGGACCATCCTTATTATTGAATCCTTATATTTCTGCATTGTAGTTTTCAAATTGAGGATGGCAGGTTAGAATGTGTACCTCTTTTGATTTTTTGCAAAAAGATAGTGCCATATTAACAGATTATTATTTTTGTTGCAGGTGTAATGTATGTGCCAAAGCAACAGAGAGGAACAGGGATCACAGTGTATCAGGTGTCACACGGCCATTTTCACCAGGTAGGTGTTACAGGTGTCAGTTTGGGTAACTTGGGTTACCACCCTTGGATTAGAATGTGTAGGTGTTGAGTTTATTCATCTGTCAGGCATAACGTTGTGAATTTGATCAATCAAGTCTTCTAGTGTTCATTGGAATACCATTGAGGATAGGGACTTTCATGCGGATGTGTTTCCTAATACACTAGCCCGTAGTGTCTCCCTATTGTACAACAAATAGCCGGTAGTGTCTCCCTATAGTACAACAGATAACCGGTAGTGTCTCCCTATTGTACAACAAATAGCCGGTAGTGTGTCCCTATTGTACAACAGATAGCCGGTAGTGTGTCCCTATTGTACAACAGATAGCCGGTAGTGTGTCCCTATTGTACAACAGATAGCCAGTAGTGTGTCCCTATTGTACAACAGATAGCCCGTAGTGTGTCCCTATGGTACAACAAATAGCCGGTAGTGTCTCCCTATTGTACAACAAATAGCCGGTAGTGTCTCCTTATTGTACAACAAATAGCCGGTTGTGTCTCCCTATTGTACAACAAATAGCCGGTAGTGTCTCCCTATAGTACAACAGATAGCCGGTAGTGTCTCCCTATAGTACAACAGATAGCCGGTAGTGTCTCCCTATTGTACAACAGGTAGCCGGTAGTGTGTCCCTATTGTACAACAGATAGCCCGTAGTGTGTCCCTATTGTACAACAAATAGCCGGTAGTGTCTCCTTATTGTACAACAAATAGCCGGTAGTGTCTCCCTATTGTACAACAAATAGCCGGTAGTGTCTCCCTATAGTACAACAGATAGTCGGTAGTGTCTCCCTATAGTACAACAGATAGCCGGTAGTGTCTCCCTATTGTACAACAGGTAGCCGGTAGTGTGTCCCTATTGTACAACAGATAGCCCGTAGTGTGTCCCTATTGTACAACAGATAGCCCGTAGTGTGTCCCTATTGTACAACAGCTAGCCCGTAGTGTATCCCTATGGTACAACAAATAGCCGGTAGTGTCTCCCTATTGTACAACAAATAGCCGGTAGTGTCTCCTTATTGTACAACAAATAGCCGGTAGTGTCTCCCTATTGTACAACAAATAGCCGGTAGTGTCTCCTTATTGTACAACAAATGAGAGTGTGTACCACGATCTGCTGGTGGGAAATGCTGTTAATAGGATTGGAAACCCGGTCTTCGGGATTATTATCAGCAGGTACTGACAACTTTTTCCATCTTGAATAAATCCTGACAAGGAGAAGTGTTTTGGATTGGTTGGTTACAGTGTGTGACCTGAGTGGCTTTGTGGTATTGTACCACGATAGCATAAATTGTAGCTCCTCCTTTCAGTCCATTCCACACAACTATTTCTGAATTATCAACTTTTATGATACCAGCAGATATTTATCACATGCAATGTCCAACGATCCTGCTTTGTAAGGCAACTGTCATTTTTAAAGAAAGTGTTTGCCAAGATGTTAGGATGATGAAGTCACCAGTTTCAGCTGAATGCTAGGCCTGCAGTGTTTGTTTCTAAGGTTACTGAAGATATTCTGCAAGTATTATGAAAATACCAAGAAGTTGCTATGAATTTGAGAGCCAAATACGTACATGAGCTCACACACTGTGAATTATATGGGTATCCTAGATGCTGGGGATACATTTTTGTGACCCGCAAACTATGCATAAACAAACAGTCCAAAGGAATTTATTTTGACCGACTGACCGCGTTACCTAGAGTCTGGAAGGTAATTTAAGGTACCGACGTTTTTCTACAATATCTGAAAAACTATTGGACCCACTCCAGTCAAAGTTGGTATGAGATTATTAAACAGTCATACATACACAGGGCCATATGACACAGTTGAACCAATCAACTCAACTCGAAAGGTTACACGGGAATCACGCACTCTCGAATACGGTGTTAGCGTTGGGCATCTCAACGTGCATGATTCCCGTGCACCCTTTCGAGTTGAGTTGATTAGTTCAACTGTGTCATATGGCCCTGTGACGCAGGGGTAGCATTATGCAGATGGCTGTTTCAATGAATGCTTGTTCCACCCGTGACGAACAGGTCTGGTTGTTCATAAAATATAGTGATAGCTAGATAGACAGATTTTTTATTCATGCACCGATTGTCTTTAAATGCAATATCCAGTTATGTATGACTGTTTAATAATCTCATACCAACTTTGACTGGAGTAGGTCCGATAGTTTTTCAGATATTGTAGTAAACGTTGGTACCTTAAATTACCTTCCAGACTATATATTAAGATAATGCTGTAAGAAGTGAAGTGGTTGAGGAGCTTTGTTTCATGGATCAGGTGGTCTGGCTCACTGACTTGTTTGATGCATGTCATCGTATCCCAATTGTGTCGATCGATGCTCATGATGTCAATCACTGGAATTGTCTGGTCCAGGCTGGATTTTTTACAGACTGCCGTCATATAGCTGGAATATTGCTGAGTTAGGTGTAAACAACAAACAAACAAAACATTTGGCAAGATCCACTGCTTAACTTCCTGATTGGGTCTACAGGAGCAGATGGCTGGCACAAGGTGCGTGGCAGGTTTGTTGGCATCAACTCATTCAGTATGAGTTGTCGCACCGGCATGACGCCGGAAGGAGTGTCTCCAGCGACTCACCTCGGCGATGGCTGTCTTGACCTCTGCATCATCTACAACTGCTCTCGTATTGACTTCCTCCGACATCTACATCGGTGTGCTGACAAACAAGCGGACCAGGTGAGAGAATGGAGATGTGTTGGTGCGTCTTCTTAACCTCCTTCATAGTACCAGAGTCTATTACAATGTCCAGATAGTATTTTCAACCATTGAGTGTTAACTCACAAATTATTCGCATTGGGTACTGATAATTTTATTTCTGTATTTTGTCTAGTCTATTGGGTATTTTTGCTCCAATAAGTAGAACTTTATTTAGATAATCATGCTTAAATGCTGTTTCAGGTGACTTGTAATTTGTATCACTTTGTGTGTATCACACCCATGTGTGTGACATGTCACATAAACTCCCAATAGCGATATACCGTATTCGACGTAATAAGCGCCCAGGGTGCTCTCAAAATTAGAAATAGGGGGCTCTTATTAGAAGATTATTTTGGTGAAAAAAAGAGAGTTGAAAGATAAATTTTGTGGTTTATGCTGACAGCCTGAAATGTTTATATACGACAGATATATTTTTTCAGAATTTAATTGCCCATAATTAAGGGTGCATATAACACACGAGTGCGTATTATACGCGAATAAATAAGTCTCTTGTACATTGATCAATCGGAAGGGGTGCTAATTGGGATTGTTCACTAGCTAATATATTAGCAAGTACCGCCGTCGGCGCTTATTAGAGCAGGGCGCTTATTATGTCGAATACGGTATGTGTATAATTAGGAGATAAACATACTGAGCTAGTTTCGTGTAGATTTAACCGCGCTGAATTGAATTTGGAAACGAACCCGCAGCGTGAGGTTTCAAATGTTTAATTTTGCGAGGTAAAACTACAGTTAACCTAGCTCTACGTTAAAAACACTGTGTGTTTGTCTACAATAAAACACAAACTCTTTGGTGCTGGCTAATATATTGAGTGAAGCGGCATGGGTTGAGTGGGTTGTCAATGTGAATTACGTAATCATTGACAACAGCCTTTAAACAAAATATTGCGCTGTATATGACCAGATTTAAGGGGATAGAACAAGGACTGGTCGGTTCGGAATCAGTATATTATTATTATTATTATTATTATTATTATTATTATTATAAGGTTATCCTTGTTAAACTGGTAACTCAATGGGCTAGCCCTATAAAACCAGCATTAGTAGAAGCAGCCAGACATGCACACATGCATGCACGTCGCTATGTAAGTGCAGTAATCTTGAACACAATGTTAAACTCCATTACAAAGCCCCAATACAGCCTGATGTAATCCTCCCTGAACTGTTGATGTGTTGACTACATCGTCTTGACTTGCTGTTCCAGTTTGACTTCAACTTCATCCAGGTGTACCGTGTCAAAGAGTTCCGATTCCAGCCTCTCTTTGACTCGGACATTGAGGAAGCGGAGGAGGCCACAGCCTCGGCCTCTGTCCTGAGGAACCGTCTCGGTCACAAACAGCTCAAGTCCCCCCACAACAGTGTGTGGAACATTGACGGGGAGCTTGTCACATCTCCAACTGTTCATGTCAGGTACACAGAGTTTCTTCTGTTCTATGTGTCTGTAATCTGTTCTATGTGTCTGTGATCTGTTCTATGATCTGTTCTATGTGTCTGTTATCTGTTCTATGTGTCTGTGATCTGTTCTGTGTCTGTGATCTGTTCTATGTGTCTGTAATCTGTTCTATGTGTCTGTGATCTGTTCTATGATCTGTTCTATGTGTCTGTTATCTGTTCTATGTGTCTGTGATCTGTTCTGTGTCTGTGATCTGTTCTATGTGTCTGTGATCTGTTCTATGTGTCTGTGATCTGTTCTATGATCTGTGATCAGTTCCCTATGTGTCTGTGATCTGTTCTATGTGTCTGTGATCTGTTCTCTATGTATCTGTGATCTGTTCTATGTGTCTGTGATCTGTTCTATGATCTGTTCTATGTGTCTGTGATCTGTTCTATGTGTCTGTGATCTGTTCTCTATGTATCTGTGATCAGTTCCCTATGTATCTGTGATCTGTTCTATGTGTCTGTGATCTGTTCTATGTGTCTGTGATCTGTTCTATGTGTCTGTGATCTGTTCTATGTATCTGTGATCTGTTCTATGTGTCTGTGATCTGTTCTATGTGTCTGTGATCTGTTCTATGTATCTGTGATCTGTTCTACGTATCTGTGATCAGTTCCCTATGTATCTGTGATCAGTTCCCTATGTATCTGTGATCTGTTCTATGTGTCTGTGATCTGTTCTATGTATCTGTGATCTGTTCTATGTGTCTGTGATCTGTTCTATGTGTCTGTGATCTGTTCTATGTGTCTGTGATCTGTTCTATGTGTCTGTGATCAGTTCCCTATGTATCTGTGATCAGTTCCCTATGTGTCTGTGATCAGTTCCCTATGTATCTGTGATCAGTTCCCTATGTATCTGTGATCAGTTCCCTATGTATCTGTGATCAGTTCCCTATGTATCTGTGATCTGTTCCCTATGTATCTGTGATCAGTTCCCTATGTATCTGTGATCTGTTCCCTATGTATCTGTGATCAGTTCCCTATGTATCTGTGATCAGTTCCCTATGTATCTCTGATCAGTTCCCTATGTATCTGTGATCTGTTCCCTATGTATCTGTGATCAGGTCCCTATGTATCTGTGATCTGTTCTATGTGTCTGTGATCTGTTCCCTATGTATCTGTGATCAGTTCCCTATGTATCTGTGATCTGTTCTATGTATCTGTGATCAGTTCCCTATGTATCTGTGATCAGTTCCCTATGTGTCTGTGATATGTTCTATGTGTCTGTGATCTGTTCCCTATGTATCTGTGATCAGTTCCCTATGTATCTGTGATCAGTTCCCTATGTATCTGTGATCAGTTCCCTATGTATCTGTGATCAGTTCCCTATGTATCTGTGATCTGTTCCCTATGTATCTGTGATCAGTTCCCTATGTATCTGTGATCAGTTCCCTATGTATCTGTGATCAGTTCCCTATGTATCTGTGATCAGTTCCCTATGTATCTGTGATCAGTTCCCTATGTATCTGTGATATGTTCCCTATGTATCTGTGATCAGTTCCCTATGTATCTGTGATCAGTTCCCTATGTATCTGTGATCAGTTCCCTATGTATCTGTGATCTGTTCTATGTGTCTGTGATCTGTTCTATGATCTGTTCTATGTGTCTGTGATCTGTTCTATGTGTCTGTGATCTGTTCTGTGTCTGTGATCTGTTCTATGTGTCTGTGATCTGTTCTATGTGTCTGTGATCTGTTCTATGATCTGTGATCTGTTCTATGTGTCTGTGATCTGTTCTATGTGTCTGTGATCTGTTCTATGTGTCTGTGATCTGTTCTCTATGTATCTGTGATCTGTTCTATGTGTCTGTGATCTGTTCTATGATCTGTTCTATGTGTCTGTGATCTGTTCTATGTGTCTGTGATCTGTTCTCTATGTATCTGTGATCAGTTCCCTATGTATCTGTGATCTGTTCCCTATGTATCTGTGATCAGTTCCCTATGTATCTGTGATCTGTTCTACGTATCTGTGATCAGTTCCCTATGTATCTGTGATCAGTTCCCTATGTATCTGTGATCAGTTCCCTATGTATCTCTGATCAGTTCCCTATGTATCTGTGATCTGTTCCCTATGTATCTGTGATCAGTTCCCTATGTATCTGTGATCTGTACCCTATGTATCTGTGATCTGTTCTACGTATCTGTGATCAGTTCCCTATGTATCTGTGATCAGTTCCCTATGTATCTGTGATCAGTTCCCTATGTATCTGTGATCAGTTCCCTATGTGTCTGTGATCTGTTCCCTATGTATCTGTGATCTGTTCCCAATGTATCTGTGATCAGTTCCCTATGTATCTGTGATCAGTTCCCTATGTGTCTGTGATCTGTTCCCTATGTATCTGTGATCAGTTCCCTATGTATCTGTGATCAGTTCCCTATGTATCTGTGATCAGTTCCCTATGTATCTGTGATCTGTTCTCTATGTATCTGTGATCTGTTCTCTATGTATCTGTGATCTGTTCCAGGGTACACACACAGCTCATCTCACTGTTTGCTAGAGGTGTGGAGAAGCTCGGCAAAGACCCGGTGCTCAACTGTCCTCCTTGCTGCTCCAGCTGTGAATAGTGAAGATGTGAATAGCGAAGATGTGAATAGTGAAGATGTGAACAGTGATTGCTTGAACTATCTATTGAACACGCCGCAGGAACATCTGAACCGTCAACACACATCACATGGACACGCCCTCCATCTCGTCTCGGATATCACCTGAACCTGCAATATGTTTATTAACAGATATTCCATTGGCTTGAGATATGGTTTTAACAGATTTCCCTAGAGCTTGAGATATGGTTATTTACAGATATAACACGAGCTTAAGTTGAAATATTGTTATTAACAAATATTGCCTGAGCTGGTGAGGTGGTTATTTACAGATATAACTTGAACTTGCAGTGTGATTATTTACAGATATTACATGAGCTTATATTGAGATATGGTTATTGACATATATCACATGAGCTTGTGATATGGATAGTAACAGATATCACATACGCTTGTGTCATGGATATCAACTGTCAGGATATAATAATGGTGGGCTTCAGATGCACATTGAGAAATGTATAGTGAAGATGCAGAAGAGCTGTGTCAACTTTTCTGTTATGTTAGAGACCAGTTCAAAAGTTTGATGGTGGATAAATATCTTAGTTCCTTAAGTTTAGGGGGGATGGAGGGCATATCTGACAAAATCAACTTGATTTCTCAATGTCTTATATAGTAACTAAACTAAGCAGAACCTCTGATCCTATATTCACCATGAGATTGTGACCTCCGTCAGGACGAGTTGAGAGAAAGAAGCAGTTAACTCGGCTCCCAAGCTCTTCGCACCACTGGTAATGTAAACTATGCCACATCAGAATCTACCAGGCATATGCTGTTCGGAGTTGTCAGGAAGTATATCCCGTCTTTTTTTTTCCCATCGCCATCTACATGACAGTGTGTTTTTGAGTATAACAAGGAATGCAACATTTTCAGAATTAAGTTTTTCGTGGTGTGGGGGTATGTCGCAAAACTTAAGGAATTAAGTTTTTTATCCTACATGGAACTTTGGAACTGGTCCCGTGCAGTTACTACCAACACCCTACTTTTAAACCAACTTGAGAAGTACCAGGACATACCTTTGTCGATACATTCAGAGCTGCCCACCTTTGCGATAATTAGTGAGTTCCTTAGACGCTTATAGAGTTCATGACTCTGAGTGCGTGATGGGCACATCTTTTCTCTGTTGATCCAGAAATGATGTAGATAGGGAATTCCGTCAATCTCATTAAAATCAGATCTTAGTTCTTGCTACCGCTAAACAAAGATCTGAGGACATCCCATTACGGGTCACGTCAGACCGAACTTGTGCGAACTTTGACCGACCAATGGAAGGACTGACAAGAAGTCGACATTAGCCAATCAGAAGGCAGCTTTCTCGTGCTTTACGGCACTGATTTCAAATTGGCAACTAAGCTTCGAACCATATTGCTGACAAATTATCGATTAAAAAATGGAAACCTGAATGGAATGGCTAATAGATGGTCTAGATTGTATGGATTCAGGCGTTAAACCTGTAACTATCGTTCGGAATACCCAGTGTTAAAGTTTTCGAGGTTGCATGATTAGGAATCACATTCCGACTGTCACTTTCATGATCTGGTAAGCGACGCTCTGATTGGTCAGATGAAAGGTCGATTTGACGTGACCCCTAATGGGATGTCCTCAGATCTTTGTTTGGCGGTAGCGAGAACTAAGATCTGATTTTAATGAGAGTAAGGAATTCCATGTGATCGACACATCCTTTCCAAGCCCTGCAACATTGTGTAGCCCAGTTCAATGTAAGTCAAAGTTGTTCTCAAGGTTATTCTCAAGTTTGTTTTTAAGTAGTATATCCAGTCCTTGATTTTATCGTGTTTTTTTATGATGTCAGTCAAAGTTGCTGTATGCTTTTGAGGAAATGTAGGGTCAGCAATTGATGTTTTGAAATTCTCTTATCAAGAAAGAATTGTTGAATATTTGTATATTGCTTTTTAATTTGGCAACTAAGAGGTGAAACAAAACATCGGTGCACCGGTGTATCATGAGTTTTCTGTATCGATACTTGCTAAAGTACATTACTTACTGCTTGTTTAGTAACCCTCTGGCGTTTTTGTCAGTCAAAAATCACAAAATGTGTTGTAATTAAGTTCACTACTAAACATAGCAGCAACGAAACCATGTCTGCAGCTAGCTTTTCCTTTTGAACCTGCTCTGAAATATTTATGGTCAAGACGATTCTACGCGATTTGATGTAGATATGCATATTGCGATGCATATTTTTTTCGAGAGAAACATGGATTTGTTCAGGCCTAACATGTGAGATTATCTAGTCATGGATAATAATATACCGTATTTGATGTAATAAGCATCCACAGCGATATTTGCTACCCCGGTAATATATTGGCTAGTGAACAATCCCAATTAGTACCCCTTCCAATTGATCAATGTACGCAAGACTTATTTATTCACGTATATTGTGGGCAATTATATTCTGGAAAAATATATCTGTCGTATATAAACATTTCAGGCTGTCATCATAAACCACGAAATTTATCTTTAAACTCTGTTTATTCCACCAAAATGATATTCTAATAAGAGCCCCCCTATTTCTAATTTTGAGAGCGCCCTGGGCGCTTATTATGTCGAATACAGTAACAATAATTATAATACAGTAAACACATGCAGTATTGTATTGTGATACTGTGTTTAACTGATGAGAAGATAGAGACAGCTAGTTAGAATATGTTTATGGGATAACAGTATTGTAACATTCATACTGAACATGTAATGACGGTGGCTAAGAAATCAGATTGTACGCTATATTAATTTTTGCATTTATTAACTTAGCAAAGCAATTTTCCGTTAATGTTTCATCGCTTGTTTCGTTTGTTATTTGTTTGCTATTTATGTTTTTCAATACGCATTTTGTACAAATGTTATATCTAGCCATAAATGGGAGTACAGCAAAATTATGAAGATCACATTCTCCCTAAAACTGATTATCATGATAATGGCAATCACAAGTCCTGCTTCAAACCTAGGGGTCACATAGTGTTCATGGGATATGTGTTGCTGTTATTTTTTGCTGTATTTTTTGTTTTTGGCGAGGAAAAGATACATTGGGCCAGAGTCCTGCTTTTGGTGCTAATGTCAAAGCTAGATGGGACAGTCTTATTCTAAGTACAGTTAGTGATTAGAACAATGAATGCAGCAATTTAATAATTAGTATGCTAGGTGCTAGCTTGTCATTAGTTGTATTGAACTGGTGGAGTGGATCATCCTCGGTTTACAGGGGAAATTGTTTAGTAGGATTAATATCTTGGAGGTATTAGACAAGGTGCTCATTTATTACCGTAGATTCAAAGAGTCTAGTCAAATTAACTTTCTGGGTAATCACTAACACAAGCATATTTGTATCCTTGCAAATTATTTAAATACCGACATGAAACAAAAAAACCTTTTAGAAGGATTATTTTAACAAATGTGCTTGTCTGTCAACATTTTTCAATTCTTTTTGTTTTGAAAAAAAAGGTTGGTTGTTAAATATCCAGGACTATTATCAATGCATGAGAGATAAATGAGACATATCAACTTCAGCAAAATATTGGCAAGGTCATTTGCAGACATGTTACAAAGCTATTTAGAATATCACATATTATCATCATGTTCATTTCAGGGTTAGGTCAGTCAGGTGTCACAAAATTAGTTGCGTGGAAAACATCTTTCGAACTGTTGAAGGTTGTGAGAGCTTGTTTTGATGTATTTTTCATTATGAACATGTACCATGACTGAATGTTAGATAAGGACAAAGATATTCACGGCCTAAACATGACATTTACTATGTATCTTGAAATTGTGAAGGTTGTTTGCTATCATCCACCATTAAAAAAGTTAACTTTCATCTTTTATTGGGCACGGGTGGCCCAGTCATCTAAGGCACTGCAATTCGCTGTGCAGAGTTGCGTCCCTTGGGCACACCTGAAACCTATGATTGTGGGTTCGAATCCCGGTTCGCCCCGATTATGTTTCTAGGTTTGTCAGCACCATACCCGTGCTCGTGGGTTTCACCAAAGTGATAAATGTCTGAGACCTGCATCACTTAGGGCTTTCCTCCCACATTAAGCTGACACACCGTGATATAACTGGAATACTGTTCACAGTGGTGTTAAACCCAACTCACACACTCACTTTCATCTTTTTAACAACATGGCACAATTTACAAACATGCTCATGATATCATCCTGAAAATATATCCTTATATACACATCAGGATATCATGGACGGTTTGTCTGCACCACTAGATCTTACCAGTTGTGTACAAATGTGCACGAAGGAATCTGGTTGCATTGATTGGTATGTTACCATAGCAACAGGGAACACTTTGACATATTCAGGAATTTGCATGTAGTTAGTCACAGTAGTGATGACTGCGGTTATAACGGGAGGATGGACAGTGGGCTTGATACAAAGACCAAGATTTGATGATATTCTTTTATGATGAAATCAAACTAGTGTAATGTTGCTTTTCTGGTTGATTTTTTTTTTTTTAAATCCTCATTGTTGTGTGAAACTACTAACATGAGCAACATCAAAACTGTGAATATTTTAGTTTTTGGTTGTAATTGTAAAAGTTATAGGTAATTATTGTTGTGGTCAAGGAGTTTGCCGATTGTATTTTTGTGTGCAATATATGCACATGCATAAGGTGAAGGTGAACCCCATGTTATTTAGGTCAGTTTAAAATCTTTTATTTAATTCATGCTATTGTAGGCATTTCTTTTAGCAAGTTATCAATTTACGTAATCGTCTGTTTTCCTTGTACAATGAAACAGAAATAGCTGTCACCTTGAAATACCCAATAGCCAGGCTCCCATTCTCTACTGAAGATTAAGTCAACAATATCATGCACTCTCATTTCAAAATATTGCATCTCTAATTAATAATAATAGTAATGCTTAAATAAGGATAGATATTGTATTTATTGCTTTGATATCCTTCGTGACAAGAGGCATCTCAAAATGATGGTTTCAAACTTGTGCTTGGCTATGTATTCCTTAAAGGTAGTCTTTAATCCATACCCAAAGTCTGGAAGACCTAAAGTAGCATGTGATCTAAATATGTCACAACAGAATTACCGTTCTGCAAACAGCAGACTACAATTGTAGATGAATGTGTGGAAAAACACAATGAGCCAAGCATTCCTTGAAAATGAAGGTCTTTTGGGGATTATGCAGTGCTCCGAATGTACGCTCAATGATTACCTTTAAGTGTATAATTATTTTTGCATTATAACTTTGATGGTCATCTCATTCTGTGTCAGAGTGCTTCTTTAAGAAAACATCTGCAATTATTGATCATAATTAAGGTTAATAATAATTACGGTTAATGAAAATATAGCCATAAATATTATTGATAATAAAATTTGGTCGGGAGGTGTTTTGTTTTTGAATGACTTCCGATGTATGATCATGCTTCTCTTGGCTTAAGGTTTGGTTTTTGTTAAAAACTTGCATGGTCATCTCTTTCTGTTTCTCTATTGTCAGCATCCGAAACATGTTGAAATACTCATTAAATCGGGGTTAATGAAAGTTTCTTTTGGGTATGGGTTGCCTTTTCCCCAGAATAGGATTGAACATTTCAGTATTTGATGTTTTATTGGGATTGTTTATATTTAATAGTTAGAATTCAAGATCCATGTTTTTACTTTACTGTTGTTTCATGGTACTATCCGCTAGTGCCTAGTAACAGTTTCTATTTATTCTAGTATTATAGATACGTGTGTGTGTATTTATTCTGTATTTAGTGATGAGATGCTATGCTTATCAAAAAATATAAAATTCAGCTAGAGTGCTGTAACACTTTCAGCTACTTTCATTCTGCTGAAGTAATGGAACGGTTTAAACAGTAAGATCATGAAAATACATAACATATAAAACACTGTTTCTTTCTTGTCATATAAGATGTTTATGTCATTGAAGGACCTGGCAAAGTTGATATTTTTATATGTGAGTGAAAACGTCAACTTTTTCTGTCCTGAGCCAAAAGCCAAGTCTCCTCCATGTATTCTCAAGCAGAAAGATGTACATGGTGGCTGATTTATTTTTCATTACTGTTACCATAGAAACTGATGGTGGCTTTTAGCATCCAACCATTTTCTGGTGTGCAGAAACATGGTATCAGGCTTATGTGATATATATGCCAAATGTGATAACGGACCCAAACTGGAATTACCAAAATATGTCATCTTTGTTCAGTGTTAAATGTCTTGTCTTAATTGTCAGAATGTATTACGCAAGTATCAAATTGCAGATATCTGGTATTTTCATTGATTCATGTCATTTGGATGATAGCATTTGTAGTTTGTAGACCATTGTCTTCAGATAAGACCAGCTGATTATATATCCATACTACCGCATTTGCCGTATTAAGCACCCTGCTCCACTGAGCGCCCCCTG